CCTGTTGCTGCAGGTCACCCGCCATCTGTTCAAAGATGCTGGCTGGCGATGGCTGCAGGAGGCTGCTCATCCCCTTGCTGCTGCAGGCACACATGGGCCACCAGCCTTGCGATGGCCACTGCCGCACAGGGAGCAGCTGCACCAGGCGCCGGGAGTAGCGTGCCATGGCTCTGCTCCTGCTGCACACACTGCCTTGCCTTGCTCAGCTGAGCACTGCCTCTGCTGCCTGCCGGGCTGCCTTTAGTACCTGCGTGGCGCTTCCAGGCACTTCCTGAACTTTCCTCCTCCTGCCTGTATCTGGGCTGAGCCTGCCTCCTCTGGCCGTATCTGGCCTTGGTGGGAGGGCCCTGGCCCTGACTCCTGAACGATGGATCAGGCTGGCTGTGTGCTCAGGGCTGGGCTTTGCTGGAAGGTGCCTGACCCCTCTGGGTGCACAGTGTGGGGATGGGCTGCAGGGTGAATGGAGCGGTTCTGGCTGGGGCCACAGAGCAGGAGCCCAAGTCTAGGGGTTGGCAGGACAAGAAGTTTGATCTGCATCTGGATGTGCCTGGCTTCTCTCCAGAGGAGCTGACAGTGAGGCAGGAGGGCAGGAAGGTGACAGTGATGGGGAGCCATGAGAAGCAGAGCCCTGGAGAGGATAGAGACAGCTTCTGGGAGTACCAGGAGATGCACAGGGAAATGCTCCTGCCCACAAGCCTAGACCTGGATGCCATTACCTGCTCTCTGTGCTTCGATGCACAACTCCACATAGAAGCAACATGCCTGGCTCTGCAGCTCGCAGAAGGAAAAGCCATTCCCAGCAGCATCCAGTGGGGAGAGGGAGCCACACAAAAAGACCCTGCTGCCAAGGAGGAGAAGCTAGGAAGGGAGGTGGGAAGCAGCAGCTAGGAGTTCTGATCCAGCCAGAAGGGGTGATGGCAAGCACACTGCCCTCGCCTAGAGTCTACAGCCATTTCTGGGGTGTAGCCCTGCCCCAGTCCGGTTATCCCATCCAAGGACATCATACCTAGGAGTCCCTCCTGCAGCAGTGACTGGTTTAGTCTTGGCTATGTTGGACTCTGGACAGAACTCATACCTGTGCCCAACCTGGAGAGGAACGGGGCTTTTGGTTTCAATATTGCTATGTTGCCCGGTGACATATATCTTAGCCAGGTGATGGTGATCTTTCTGAATGTGTTGTTTGTGTGTAGTTGGTGGAAATAAACCCGTGTTTCCCACATTCCAGTTGGCAGTGAATTGATTAGAAACTTTTTTTTAAATTTCCAAACAGGGAACAGTGGAAGATGCAGTTGCAGTGACCTTTAAAACCTGTCCCCTGAGGCCTGAGCATCACCACACACTGTCTGGCAACCTCAGGCCCTGTATTTTGTCAGTCTATATTTGCATACACTTTCAAAGTAAATTTTCTAGCCTGGGAGCAACCCCTTCCAGCAACTGGGCCCAGGCCTCTGAGTCTGAGTCACACGAGTGATCCACTGGATTGCTGTGGAGCCACTCACTTGCTAAGGATTTATCGGTTTAGGATGGGGTGGCCAACCTGCAGCATGTGTGCCTCAAGCAGCACAGGCAAACTCTGTGTGTGTCATGAAGCAGATGGAGCAAGGGACAGTCAGCATGTGGATAATCTCTTCTTAAGTCTCTTTGCTTAAAAAGCCCTTGCCCAGTGCTTCACACCCTACTCCCACCCTGCCCTTTTTATCACCGTCCTTTCAGAGCTTTTGTTGTAAAAAATCCCCTGGGTAGAAAACATGTTATCTAATGTCAACTCTGGAGACGCCAGGGTTAAAAAGGAATCATGTTGCCTAGTCCCCTCTTCCTACCCTGCATTTGTTCCTTGGCTTTACAGCACAGCTCCCTATTTAGAGGAAGATGACAACGTTGGTTGAGCTTAGGCCAGTCAGGGACAGGGGCTGGTTTATGAACAGCAGGCACTTGAGGGGACTTCAGCAGCGCAGGCTCTATAGTGCAGGCCCACTCTGCTTTCCCCAGGGAAGAGCTTTCCAAGCACCCGGAGCAGTTTGTTTGGCAACAGCAGGTAGAGGTGATGGGCGGCATTCAGCACCTGTGACAGATAGGGCCCCACAGTGTGCAGTGCTGCGCCCATCAGATGCACCCGCTGCTTGAAAACACTGCTCTGCAGCTTCTGTCACCATGCTGCGAGTCAAGCTCTGCTCCCTCCTCAGTCTGGAGCTGTAAGGGCAAGCAATATGCCCTGTTTCCAAAGGACAGGCAGGAGAATCTGTATCCCCTGAAGTTAAAGGAGCAAGGATACTGAGGGGCTGGTAGCAGCACATTCCCTTCAACCTCTGTGCCTCAGATAAGCAGTTGCAGCCTGACTATTGTAGTACAAATACATTAGATTTTAGACATAAGGCTTAAAATTAGACATGATGCTTTATTTTTGCAGTATGCTTCTGTATTCAACATGGCTTGCTAACAGCTTCTGCATATAGGTTAAAGACAGCTTTACACATAGAGTTTCACAATCGCACCTGTTCAATGACCTAAAATTACACGAAGATAGGGGTTACTAAAGGACATTGAGTTTACCACAGCTTCCCCAACACGCATGTGCCTTCATCTATCCCATAATAAGTTGAGTCTAACTTAAAAGGCCCTGACATCCTGTGGAAACTTAGACGTAACAGTAAAATTGTGAAACTGCCAATAGTTGTAAGACACGCTACAGCTCTTTGTTTAGGTAAGTTATAAAAGACCCTCAGACAAAGACTGGGGGTCGACACTGCTTTGGGTTACTCAACCCCTTTGTCGACCGATTGTGCAATCAATAAACTTGTAATGGACTCAGCCTGAGTGTGACTCCCTCCTTGAGGTGTTTGGGAAAGGCCTCCAGGGGCATGAAACTAGCAATTTGTGCAACAGTATGGGGCAGGGCTTTGGCCTGCTCCAGCAGAGCCCTACATTCCCAGAGCATCTGCCTTTATCACTTCCCCCAAGCTCCTGCAGCACTCAGTGCTTCTCAGCACAGCACTGACATTGTTGCTTTTTACAGGCAGGAGTGGAGCCCTGCCAGTTGTGGGAGTTTGTCTGTAGTCACACAGGGAGTTCATAGCACACTAAGGAATTGGATCAGGCTGCCCTGCCTCCCAGCCCCGCATCCCAAAACCATGAGGCCATTCATCCTTCTTGGGAAAAGAAAAAAAAAAAGAAGAGCACGGGGACAATCTGGGAGCCAGCGAGCTTGGCAAAGGCAGCAGCAACACATGGAAAAGACAAACCCATTTATTTCATATAAAAAGAAGTGATATAATACACATCTCATGGGCAGTTAGACAGTGCCTAGCACCCTCCCACCCGCACGGGGCCTGCATCAGTCTCCGATAACTCTCAGCTCTGATGCTGCTCCGAGAAACTGCTCTCTGCTCTCCCTGGCTCCGCCAGCGCGACAGGTGTCAGCTCTCAGTCCCTGTTATGCCTTGGCTCTGCCATTGGCCCCCTCCTTGGAGCACACTGCAGCTTCACTCCCCACCGGGGTGATCTGGATGGGCACGTTCCTCTCAGGAGTGGCTGTCAGTGCCTGGTGCGGCGCTTCAATGCACAGCTGGCCCTCACTGGAGATGAAGCAGGTCACGTCATTGGGGTCCACGCCCTCGGGCACGTCCCACTCCCACTTGAACACCTCAGACTTGTAGGAGAAGGAGCCTTTACTGTCCTCACTTTGCATTTCCTTCTTGCCTGTCAGCAACACCTTCTTGCCCACCAATTTCACTGTTAGCTCCTCAGGGGCAAAGCCCTTAATGTCCTGGGATATGGTGAAGCCCCTGTCTGTTCCCTGGGGCAGGGTCATGTTGGTGCTCTGCTCTTGTTCTCTGCTGGGGTTACTGCTCCCTTCACCTGCTAAGAGCTTCTGGACACCGCTCATAAAATCCCGGGTCCGCTCCATCTCCCATCGGACCTCCCGCTCCAGCTCAGCAAAGACGGTGCTGGGTTGAGGCCACAGCATGCGTATGGGGCCCACCCAGGGAGCCAGGGTGCGGTGGGAAGGTGGCTGGAGGTGCAGGTGGCACAGAATCTCTGCTTCTGTGGCTGACTTAGAGCGCTGGGGCTGAGTCCTCTCCGATGGTCCTGGAGCTGCTCTGCTCAGCTGGTGGGAGCCAGTGGCTTTTATCCTCTTCCTGGCCAGGCCTGGGCCCATCCAGAATTCTCGGTCCCATTCATACCCTCGAGATGCCATCTTCTATTTTTAAGCAGCTGATGGCTTAAGGATTACTCATGTGCCAAAATAACAGCACCTGCTTCCTGAAGCAAGCATCACCCATCCAAATTGGGCAGCATAGTCACAGCCAGCCAGGGGCTTGGGTTACAGACCAAGCTGCTGTGGTCCAGCTGAGAGCAGAGCTCACAAAGGAAGGCGGGATGGGTGGGAGCACATCAGGGGGTTTGAGGTGTGGGTGTGACTCAGTAGCACAACCTCAAGTCTTCAGCTCTTCCAGATCAGACTTTACAGCACATTGCAGAATTAGGGACCATATGTTGTGCTGAGGATTTCGGTGTTATAAAAACAATGCACAAAGGGTTAATACATTAAGTAGATATATTAGCATGGCCCCATGGTGCAGGCCTCAAGAGCTGGCTTGTATACATCTATTATGTCTTCCTCCTTCCCCTCTCTGCCTTTCTAGCACAGGCTACTCTTACTGCTGGATCTTCCAGCTGTGGCTAATGAACTGCTGCGTGGCACCGGGGCTTGTCCTGCTCCTGGCAGCAGCAGCACCAGGAGAGGAAGGGGCCTTCCCCCCCGCTGGAGTCCAGCTCTGCCCTGGGCAGAGGGAGGAGAGCAGGGAGCCCAGCTCAGAGACCACGCAGCCCTGGGCAGCCAGGAAGGCTCACACCTTCCCCCTCAGCCCTGCTGGGCAGGCTCAGGCAGCTGCTCCCGGGCTGGGGTTCAAGGGCATTATGCCAGCCCAGCCTGCTGCAGCTGGCACAGGCACTTTTACACATGTTCCAGGGGTGGAGGGGCAGCGCTTTAATTAGAGTGGCTCTGACAGCTGCTTTAATTAAAGTGCCACAGTGTTTTATGTATCAGTGTCCCTGCACTTTAAAATGGTGGCGGGAGTGCTTGAACTATGGCTTGTTGGACGAGCTTTAGTTCAAGCACCTCTGCTGCTGTATTTAAGCATGGGGATGCAGATACACAAGATGCAGGAGGTTGCAGGAACAGCTCCAAAATAAAGGAAAAGGTTTATTTATGTCAGTAGTTTAAAATGCCTTGCATTAAATATCGGTTATTGAATCAGCATTGGCCAATATGGTTGGTTAATAATCAGCTATCGGTATCAGCCAAAAAAACCTTTATCAAAGCACCCCTACTACCAACCGTCATCCCTTTGTTTTCCCCATGTCAGGTTAGGGTGTTTTAGGTGTCTTTGGGCAATAGGCCTCCTTGCTGTGTGACAGGGAAGACTGTGTAGTTTCAGGAATAGGTTAGGCAAGGACTTGCATGGCATGGTCTGGACAGGAATGATACCACCTCAAGGAGAGGGCTAGACTAGATGACCTCCAGAGGTCTCTTCCAGTCCTTCTCTTCTATGATTCAGTGTTTCTCTTCCCCCACACAGTGCTGGCCACCATCCAGACCTCTTTGCTCCCAACTAAGGACACAGATGTGTCAGCCTGTGTGGCTTCTTGCCCTCCCAACCACAGCCCTCCCCCACCACACTCCCCTCCATGCAACACCCAAGCAGCACAGAGCTGGACAACCTGCTAAGTAAATTAGACCATTTAATGCCACCCAGCAGGGATGCAGGCTATCAGTACAGAAATTATTTCCCATGAGTGAGGATCCAAAGCTCTGAGATTGAAGAGGTAGAGGAGAAATTACAATAGCACTCCTGTCCGTTGTCAAGGCATCTCATCGGATACTCGGGGTTTGCAGAGCTTACAGCCAGCAATGTGGCAGGAACCAGGACAAGGGATGGATTAGAGCAGATGGGGCAGCTCAGGGGAGAAAGATGGCTCATAGTTCCCAGGCAGCAATGTTCCTGCCAGGGCTGGAAAAATCAGCAAAGCCTTGGACACGGCCTGCCCAGGCGCTAGGGCTATGGAGGAGCTAAGAGCCCCAAAGCAAAGTGTCCCATTGATCTCTGACAAGCACTAAGCACACCCAGGGTCTCTGATGATGACTCCTGCTGGTTCTGCACTGACACAGGGAGCCACTGCCCCTTTCAGCCCCCCCAACTCCTCACACTCCAGAACTCCAGCACTCACCTAGTGTAGTTCACCTTGTAGGTGGAGGCATCATCATTCTGCAAGTGCTGTCGAAATTGGGAGGGCATCTTCAGCTTCAAGGAGTTGAGGCACAGCAGGAACATCGTGGAGAGCTCATACATGGTCCATCGCTCCTTGGGCGGCAGGTGGCTGAACTTGTACTGGACCAGCTTCAAGACTCCCTGGGGGGCAAGAGGGTCATCAGGGATGAATGAAGCTGCAGGATGCCTTGGCTGGAGGCACTACCACATCATGGTCACTGCTAGGACAGCTTGGCACCATGTGCCTTGCAGCTGTGTAACAGGGTTGTTTGTGTAGTTTTAGGAAAAGTTTAGACAAGCACTTGTATAGGACATGATCGATGATCTTGCCTTGATCAATGGGTGGAGCTAGACAACCTCCTGAGGCTCTGCTTTTCTATGGTCCTATGATGAGGGCTGTTGAGGGTGCGGAACATGTAGTTAATAGACCAGGAGGCAAAGAGATGGCAAATAGCTGCAATCACCTGCGGAGATTGGGGTACAGCTTTGCTCCAGGCAATAAATAGGTTGGGACAGGGTGGGAATGAAGTAACATCACGCTGCAGAAGTCTGCCTACAGGTTGGCAGACCTGGCAACTATACCTGAAGAGAGAGAAACCCATAGGACTGCTGGTCGGGACTGAGAGAGGCCCAATAGCAAAACACAGGGCAGACAACTTGCATCCAATTATTGGATGTACCGTTATCACAGCCAGAGAGCTAAGGACAGAGATGAGCAGTGCAGAGCAGGGTGGAAGAAGAATGGACAAAGCTGCACACAGCAGGTGTGGAGTCAGAAGCTGCCCATCTCCATGTATCTCCACCACATCCCTGTTTTCCAGGACAGACACCAATCCCAGGTGGTGCTTGCATGAGACATATGAGTATCCTAGAAATACATCCCCACTAACTGGCATGCTATTGCAACAAGACAGCCTAGTTTGCTTCTGAGGAGCCCAGGGACAGAGGTCCAGGTGAGACCCTGCCTGGGGGAAGCATCATTGAGTGGCAGGAAAGCTATTCTCATTTTACAGGGGTAGGAGGAAGGAAGGAGTCTGAAAATCATAATAGAAAAGAATAGGCATGGGAAGGATTGGCAGCAGCAATCCCTGCCTGGGAGGCCCCCTGTGCAGACACAGTAGGAGATTGCTACAGCAGAGCAGGTTGTTGTGACAACCAAGGGCCAGTGCAGAGTACCTGCATTATATGCTTGATGTTGGACTTTTTAAAGTGGGGGGTCCCAAGGGACCATTCCACCTCTGGACTGCTCATCTGCAAGAAGCACTTCCTCAGGAGCTGTGGGACACAAGGAAACTTACACCACTGATGGCAGCGCAATGGTAGGGGTTAGCTGGTTGCAGAAAGGGATTCCAGCAAGAGTGGGAGCAACAGGCCAGAGCCCCTGCTGGTATCAATGCTCCATTGCCTCTAATGGAGCAGTGCCGAGCTACCCCAGCTGCAGATCTGGCCCGGTTCTTCCTTTGAAGATTATTCTCCCCACAGGCCTTGGTTCAGTCCTTCCATGCAGTTTCCAAAAAGCCACCTTGCTGCTGGGCTGGTTGAATGGGTTTACAACCACCTAATAGGTGAATCCTCCACTGGACCTGGACCCCAAAACAGATCTAGGAAGAGTCGGCCTATTAAGACACTGTGTCCAGCAAAATGGACACAGTGTCCAACAGCAAGTGGACACACAGACCCAAGTCTTGGCGAGAGGTTTGTCTAGCAGAACAATATCAAAGAGCCAGCATGTTGGAGGTTGGGAGCAGCCTAGGAAACTTTAGCAGCCTTGCATTAAATCAAGACCTTGTAGGAGGTAGTTAGCCAAGCCCAGCACTGGGACAGAGTGTGGGGAGAGATCACCAGTACATGGGTTCTTAACAACCCAAAGGCATCCAACAAGGGGATAGCGGGGATGGGGGAACGGGGGATGGGATAGCAGGGGGGAGAAGCCTGCTCCCAACCACCTTCTTTCCATATGTCTTAGAGGGACTATGACAGGGGAAGTCTTGAGGCCAGTCCCAAGGTCGGCCTGCCCACCTGTCTAGGGCAGTCTGCCCTGTCTCTCCTGCCACAACTTGATTTATAAGAGAAGATGTAATAATGCAGGAGGCTGCCCATTTTATGCCCTCACGCCTATGGTATTATACATGGCTTCAGCCTTCCCTGTACCATATCCAATGCTTTGCAGATGGCATCCAAAATAAAAGCTCTGCCTCAGGTGTCCTCATGTATGCCTGAGCCTCCTGCCTGCTCGCTACGGCCTCCACTACAGCTGCTCTGCTCTACCATGTGTAGTCCTTCAGGCTCCATAAGGCCCTACTCTACACGGCTGCCGGATCCTACGATGCCCCCTCACTGGGACTATGGGGCCTTGCACCCCATGGGTCTCAGGTGTCCGCAGATGGGCATGTACTCCACTCATGGTCTAATGAGTGGACTCAGGTCTCAGGTGTCTGCAGGCAACCTGGACCCTTCTCCAGGCCCCACACTATGGGCCTGGGCCAGTGCGTCTGGGCCCCTGTGCTTTTGTCTCAAGGTGTGGTCCCCGCTGTCACTTGTGAATTTGTGCTAAAAGGGTCGGGACTACTACTGTGCTTATTGGTATCGGCCATACCCAGTTGTTAGCAATTTGGGTTTGGTCCGTGCATGTTCCCCCACTCCAGACGGGATGTCTCATCAGAGTAATGGCCTCCTCCATATCGAGTAATTCGCCTCCGTGATTTAATACGAGGCGCCCCACCCACAATACTGGGGTCTCCTCTGGGCTGATTTTTGTCTCCCTGATTAAATCTTGCATCTCCCCCCTCGTCCGGGTCCGGTAGACCGCAACCGTCCGGGTTACCTCACCCTCCACCATTGTTTTGACTGTGGCGATTGGATTTACTTGGAAGGTGGGGGCACTCGCGGTGTCGGCCTTCTGGGGAAGACTGGGGTATACTGAGGGGATT